GACCTTGACAGGCTCTTGAAACACCTGGAAGGTGGGGCTCTGGGCATGCCTCTGGGGGATTGTGTTCACTGAGGTGGGAATACCACCTACTGTGGGCGGCCCCATTGCCTGGCTGGGATCCTTGTAGGGCCAGGCTATACAGGCCATATTCCTATACCGTATGACAGTCAGAGTTCTGAGTGACCTGCCAGGCCCAGTTTGCTCCTCCCACACAGAAGGGGTCGCCTGGCCTTTTGACAGTGAGCCAACCTGATGCCATCCTAAGCAAATGGTCAGGATATTCTAATGTCGCTCTGCTCCTTCTGTGGTAATTTAGGAGGTCGCCTAGGGAAGAGGTGTTTTTCTGTCTGTGGCAGAACAGACATAGGTAGGAACATGACCCAAGCCACTCTCCCCACTACCTAGGAGACGGGATGCTAATGAACCCCCCCTCAGTTTACGTTTTGATATAAAAGTTGTTTGTGTTTGAATGAGCCCTGAGACTCCTTCTGCTATTGTCATGTGAATTGTGCCTCAATTGTTCCCACCCCTCCACTCCGGTACAGAAATGGTTTATGTCTGGGCTGCTTCCCAGCAGGTCCTGGACTATAGAAGTGTAGAAAGGGAGTTGAGCGGCAGCGTGCCTTCATCTGCTTCCTGATTGTGGGTGTCATGTGACCAGGGGCTCTCAGCCCCTGTTGCCTTCACCTTCCTTCTGTGATGGACTGAGCCCTTTACCCTTTCCCTACAAGGTGCTTCTATTAGAATATCTCATCACAGCAACAGAGAAAGAAACACCACCCAAGCTTCTTCCTTCCTCTGTCTATTCAAGACTCCACCTTGTGCCCATCTTCCCTTCAGGACTACATGGACTGGGGTATTTAAAATTGCACTCTGCCTGGGCGGTGGTGGTGCATGCCTTTAATCCCAGCACTCGGGAGACAGAGGCCAACCTGGTCTACAAGAGCTAGTACCAGAACAGTTAGGTCTATTACACAGAGAAACCCTGCCTCAATCAATCAATCAATAGAATTGCACTCTGGCCTGCAAAACTGCATTCAAGGCCATGGAAGAGCTGTCCACGTCCAGGGTTCCATGAAACCACCCAAACACAACTTTGGAAATGGCAAAGACTTTCCCCCCCTCTATTATCCACTTCCTCTCTGGTCTCCACTAGTTCATGGAAAGGGTCCTACTACATGCCTTTTCCAGAGGCCTCAGGCGAGGCTCACACATTCTCTCCTCCTCTGACTTCACCCCACACCTGCTTCTCTATTATCAGAGGTACACAGACAATGCATTCTAAACACACTGTCAAGCATTTAAAACTGTACTATGGGCACTACTAGTCTTGCCTCCTTCTATAGAAATCTCCAGAAAGGCATCTGTTACCAATAGCTCCTGGCACAGTGCCTCAACCCAGGGCACTCAATCAATAAACCCTGGTCTTTGAAAACTTATTTTTAGTGCTCATTCAGTGTGTGTGCACTCGCGTGCACGTGTGCCATGGCACACATGTGGAGGTCAGGGGAGAACTGGTTCTCTCCTTCCACCATGTTGGCATCAGGGATGGCACTCAGGTTGTCAGACTTAGTGCAAATTTCTTTATCCACTGAACCATATTGCCAGACTCAACTCTTGTTTATCATTTTGGCCCCCCAACCCCTGGGGGCTGATGGGGAGCTAACAAAGGTAGCTGGTTCTCCTGGGGCCAGGCTCTGGTCTCCCTGAGGCATTTTGCAAGGCAGTAATGTCAGCACTGCCCACTGTGGCAGTGCTGAGGACCAGTCTGAAGAGCTTCTCTGGCCTTTGCAACTCTTTGAGTGTAGTGTCTTAGGCGTCTCCTCTGCTCTGCACTGAGGACCCTTCCCCATGCGCCCTCTTCAGTGAGTTTAATCCACCCGTGAAAGAGTATCCTTCTCTCCATTCATTGCGGAGCACAGATCCTGGTGTGTCTGATACAAATGTCTGGCTAGTGGGCTGGCAGACAAATGGATGAATTACTACACTAGCAAGGGAAGTAGAAAGATGACTTACTTCTACCAGTATCCTGGAATGGTGTTCTTGCAAGGGCTGAGGTCCAGGATAAGCTGGATAGAGTGAAATTTGTTCAGTCATTTTCAAAAGTTTACAACTTAGGAACTAGAATGTGTATATATATATATCCATATATATATTCATATATATCCATCTATATATTCATATATATATATCAGCATTTAGTGAAAACTTGGTAAGACAAAGGGGTGAGGTTAGAGTTTGGTACACTAAAATCAATAGCAGCTAGGTAATTCATTTTGGAAATGGCTCAGTGTTTTTACTCGACGTTTATATTAGCGGGCCACTAATATACACTCTCAGTATGTAATAATACACTCTCAGTATTCGCAAACTTGGAACTTGAAGGTGGCTTTGAAGGAAAGGCTTGGAGCGCCTTGTGAACTCCCAGAGTGCCTGACTGTAAGCTATGTGCATGAGTCACCTGGGAGCCTCTTAAAGATCGCACTGCCCAGGCTGCCCCACAAGTTGATGAACATTTTACTCTTCAGAGAGATTAATCTCAGGGAGAAAGACAGAGCCCTGGGCCCTGAGCCTCTGAGGCAAGCACTCCACCCATGAGCTACTCCCCTATCCTGGCATACTTGTATTTTTAATGTGTGTGTGTGTGTGTGTGTGTGTGTTTGTCTGTGTGTGTGTGTGCACGTGTGCATGTATACTGTGTGCTGTGTGTGGTGTGGTGTGTATTGTGTATGTACATGAGTGTAGGGTTGTCTGTGTCTATGTATGCATGTGTGTGTACTGTGGTGCTGTTCATGGTATGGTTTGATGTGTATTGTGTATAAACATGAGTATAGGGGTGTGTATCTATGTGTGTATGTGTGTGCTGTGCATGGTATGGTGTGTATTGTCTATACGTATGAGTGTAAGGATGTGTGTCTGTGTGTGTATGTGTGTACTGTGTGCTGTGGGTAGTGTGTCATGTTTTATGTATGCACATGAGTGTAGGGGTGTGTCTGTGTGTGTATGTGCAGAAACCAGAGGAAGACAATGGTGTCTTCTATTCTCCACATTACCTCCTTTCGATGGGTGTCTCTCACTGTCACGGCTAATCTTGGTTGTCAGCTTGAGTGGATCTGGAGGCAGTTGACAGGCAAGCTTCGGGGCTCACTTGTGAGGGCTTTCCTTGAACCTCTGGTGGCATCCCAGAAAGCAAGGTCCAAGAGAGACGCTTCGCTTTTGAATGCTTGCTTGCCGTTGCTCTGGCTGGCACATTCATCTGTGCTGTTGCTGCTGCCATCACGGCCATTCCTTCACTGATGTCAGAGCCACACTTAAGGGGCTTCCAAAGGGGCTGAAAACAAGAGGCCCTCCAGAAATCCTTTAGGCTTTAGCATCGGAACGGGATGAGACACCAAGCCTTAGTGACTGAGAAATTGCCAGGTTCTCTCCACTTCGGTGTGAGGCAGCCATTGTTAGATTACTCAGACAGTATTTTTTGGTGTTGTTTTGTTTTTCGAGACAGGGTTTCTCTGTGTAGCTTTAGAGCCTGTCCTGGAACTAGCTCTTGTAGACCAGGCTGGCCTCAAACTCACAGAGATCCGCCTGCTTCTGCCTCCTGAGTGCTGGGATTAAAGGTGTGAGGCGCCACCGCCCGGCTAAAAATTTATTTGTGTATACAGTGTTCTTTCTGTATATATGTCTGCAGGCCAGAAGAGGGCACCAAATCTCATTACAGATGGTTGTGAGCCATCATGTGGTTGCTGGGAATCGAACTCAGAACCTCTGAGTCATCTCTCGAGCCCCCCCAGACAGTATTGTGTAAGCCAAATGAATAAATTTCTTTAAATATATACTCATCTTCTCAGTTCTGTTCTTCTAGAGAACCCCAATTAATACACTGCCTGCGCTGGAAATTCAACACATAGGCTAGGCTGGCTGGCCAGCGAGCTCCCAGAACACACCGTCACCATTCTTCAACTATGAGCAGTCATGCCCACCTTCTAGTGGGCACTGGGGATTTGAACTCAGGCCCTTGCACTTGTGCAGCCCCCACTCCAACCCACTGAACCATCTTCTTAGCCTGGCATCTGTGTTTTTACAGCTCCTCAAGTAATTCTGAAGCACCGCCTACACTGAGAATCCACAGGCAGCTAAGACCAACAAAAGGACTTAGCTGTGTAAACCAGAGTCTGTGTTTCCTCTAAGAGTCTGAGACCAGCTTCAGCCAGTTCCTCCCCAGGGTCCCTTCTTCCTTCCTTTATACTTACTTTTTCCCAGCAGTCAAGAGTCACTCTGGAAGCCAGGCGTGGTGGCACGTGCCTCGCCTTTAGTCCCAGCACTCAGGAGACAGAGGCGGGTAGATTCCCGTGAGTTGGAGGCCAACCTGGTCTATATAATGAGTTTTCTAGACAGCCAGAGTTACACAGTAAGACCAGCCTCAAAAACAAGGAAGCAAGACTGGCTCTTGAGCTACATTGGTGAGGATCCAAATTCAAATGAGGTACACTGTCAATTGTGGAAGCTGTACTTTCCGGCTCCATTGACCTTCCACGCCTAAAACCAATTTCAAAAATTGGGAAAAGAGAGAGAGTCTCAATAAATCCCCAGGAGGCTGCAAACTACCCTGAGCCAGGGGTGGAGCATCAAAACCACAGGGATGCTGAAACACTATAGGTCAATGGCTGCCCTGCTCTTGGATCTACGAGCATACTGTGCATTGCCCCCTTCTCTCAAGGACTGTCTGGTCCCCAAGTAAAACCCACAGTCTCGTTGGGCTTGGGAAGGAGGTTGCGTCACCACCAGATCCTCACTGAGTATTCTCTTCCACCTCAACTACTCTAACAGTGTTCTCTGCAGGCAGGGCCATTTCCCAGGATTATTTAGTGTGGAGAATGCCTCTGGGTTTAGAGGTTGTTGGTTATGGAGGACGGGCAGGGCAGGTGTTTTCCACCTTTTCCCTTAATTCTTCAATGAGCTAACTCTGCAGGGGATCAAATCAAAAGACCAGCACACACATGCCATCAGATTGCAGTTGTGTATTCAGTTTCCTATGGACTTGAACCACATGGGCTACCGGAAGGGGAAGAGAAGCGCTCTAGAGCTGCCTGGCTGGCCTACTGACTGCTGCTAAGACATCCGTTCTTACATACGCCTTACAAGATCATCTTCCTACAGGAGAATCGGCTTCCACAGGGGTAGCAGGGGTTGCAAGGGTCGCAGGGGCCGCAGGGACCGCAGGGGCCGCAGGGGCCGCACGGACCACAGGGGCTACAGGGGCTGCAGGGGTTACAGGGATTGCAGGGAGATGTGCAAGGGTAGCAGGGAGACTCGATCTTGACGCAACTGCCGAGCCCGTAGGAGTATGTCACGTCTTTCTCGTCCACGCATGGCGGCAAGCTGAACTCTTTGCAGATGTTCATGTAACTGTACTTTTTGGATCCGAGGCAGTCGTACCTGTTCTCCCTCTCGGCTGACACACAGACCTTCCCATCTTTCACGCGCACTTTGACTTGGTCGGGCTCAAAGCCGCACACGTTCACCGATCCCAAGATGTTGCTGCTGCAGCAAGATGAGGCCAGGATTCTGTTCGTGGTCCTTCTGAGTCTGTGGTTGCAAAGGGGGGAGGGACAAGAGAGGTTAGACCTCTGGACTCTACACACCACCCATAAAATAGGAGCCCCCTCAACCCCAGTCCCTGAGCCCCTCGCCCCTGAGTTCCCACCCCACCTCACCTCCCCACCCCCTTTTGACTCATATCAACCCAATCCAAACCCATTGGCCTTTCTTTCAGATCTTTCTCTAATGCTCAAATCTAACTCCTCCTGCTCTAAGTTATGGACACTTGGCCTGGTCCTTTACCTGGTTACTCTGTGACTGAGCTTCCTTACCTGTGATGATGGTGATAATCCATCTCAACACTGCTGGAGAGTTAAATGAGACCATGTTTTACTCAGCACCGCGCTGGGTTCATCATACATCTTGCCTGATTACCGTTAACATTACCGTTATCTTTTCAGACAGACAGATTTGCTTTGGTTTTCTGATGCTGAGGTTTGAGCCTCACGCGTGTTCGGGAAGCACTCTCTACTGGGCCACACCCCAGCTCAGGGTTTTTATTTTTTATTGTTTTTTAATGAGACACAACCAGTAAGTTAGCATTTGAACTCTGCATCTTAAAGATCAAAGCCAGGAATAATGTGTGTGTCTGCAGACCCAGCTATCCCAGAAGGTGAGACAGGAGGACTGCTTGAGCCTAACAGTTGCCAGGTAATCTGGACATTAAAGCATGCTTTTTCTGGCCGTCACTGGGCAGACAGACAGACACTCCTCCAGACAGCTCACTGGCAAAGGACAAGGCAAGAGAACTCTGGCTTAGTTCTTCCTTGGACCTGGAGAGACCCTGGAAATCCAGTCTGTCTGGTTGCCAGTGCGGAACAGATACAGCGAGATTTCCTGGTGACGTACTAGCTGGGATCCTATCATCTTGCAAAGAGTTTGTTGTGTGTGTTTCCCCAGCTCCTCATTCAGCAGCGTTGTGTTGCTAACTTGAAATCACTCATGAGAGAAATGTTGATGCCAGAGTGGAGTGAGCTAGAAATCGGGGCCCGAAGAGCCGGCTGCCGGGCACCTCTGCTGTGGCTGCTGCTCTACGGCACTGCCCTGTAAACCCTTAATAATAGCAGCAGCTTGCACTGATTGGGCAGTGAGGATGAATCAAGAAATAGGAAAGCTGGGCTGGAGAGATGGTTCAGCGGGTAAGAGCACTTGCTACACTGGGCGGTGGCAGTGCATGCCTTTAACCCCAGCCTCAGGAAGCACAAGCAGGTGGATCTCTGTGAGTTTGAGGCCAGCCTAGTCTACAGAGTGAGTTCCAGGACAGCTAGGACTGGAGAGCTCTTGCTATTCTTCCAAAGGACCCAGGTTCAGTTCCCCCCACCATGTCAGGCAGCTCACAACCTCCTATAACTCTATGCTCTAGAGGATCTGGCGACCTCTTTGGGCACCTGCACTAATGTGCACATGCTCACACTGAGATAAACACAAAAATAAAAATAATCCTTTTTGAGAAGGAGGGCCAAAGTACCTACCCAGAGCTGTGACCCCAGAACCGGACTCTTCCCTCACATCTTGCAAGGCCCTGCTGTGCAGACAAGTTCTCGAGCTTTCCTCTGCCTCACCCAGGACAATAATGAGTGGCCCGCCTACCTATGACGTTTACCTTGGCGCCTACAAGATTACCACTGCACTGCTTTAGATGCTTTTGAAGATTTCTGCTTACTGTAGTTTAGCTACGTGTAGGTTTGTGTGTCTGTGTGTAGGTTTGTGTGTCTGTGTGTAGGTTTGTGTGTCTGTGTGTACCTTTGTGCGTGTGAGTGTTGGTGTCTGAAGGGGTCAGGGTCATCGGATACTCTGGAGCTGAAGTTATAGATGAGTGTGAGCAGCCTAAAGTGGGTGCTGGGAACTGAACTGGGGTCTTCTGGAAGAACAGCAAGTGTTCTTTACTACTGAGTTCTCTCTCCAGCCCCTGTACCCCTCTTTATACTGAATTTTATTTAAACATATTCTTCTTTGCTTAAGTTACACAAGTTCATTGTAGAAGATCCAGGGGACATAGATAAACTAAAGTATTTTTTTAATATTATAACACACATAACATTACTTTTGTTGTATTTTCTTGTCTATGTATGCGTGTGTGTGATTTCTACATACACATAGATTTATGTATGCCCTTATTTCCAAATCATGCTATACACTCTGCTTTTAATTTGTATTTCTCACTTGATTAAACTTCATGGGACTGACTTAATGAGGTGAATTTCTACTCTTGTATTGAAAACTACACTCGTGCTTGGCTAATTACAAAATGACACTAGCGCTCTCTCCTAGGAGACGACCTGAGCAGCAGACGAGATGGCGTGGTGTGAGTCCTTCACCTCCGTTCCACCCTGGCCCTGAAGAAACTGGTGAGTCCTCCTTGTCCTGTATGTGCTGGGGCGCCTTAGGTCATCCCAAAAAGAAAGGAAGAGAACTGGCTTCTTAGGTAGACTTAGCCCCATCTCTCTGGGAGAGCAAGGAGGAGCTCACAAGCTCCTAATAGGGAACTAACCCAGACACCAGTCCTCTCTGGCTGGATCGTGGCTTGAAGAAGCAGCCAGGGGTGTGTGTGTGTGTGTGTGTGTGTGTGTGTGTGTGTCTGTACATGTGCAGGGAAAGTCAGTCTGGTTTGGATGAGAAGTGTGGAATCCTGATATCGATAGTGAAGATGGGCTGGGACTAACAAAAGCAAGCCAAGACTCCTGAGCAGGTTCCCTAAGCCTCAGCTGGTTCTTCCCGGAAAAGCTCAGTCTGCTCACCACAGGAACTGGAGCCTAACCTGGGACCTGACTTGTCAATCACAGCCAACTTTCAGATCTGTTTCCTGTAGACACCTGAGTCCCAGCTTTAGTCAAATGTGTTGTTACCGGCCCCTCCTCACTTCCCTCTGTTCCTCAGCTCCGTTGGCTCTGCAGTAACTGTCCAGTGGTCCCACAATGTTCGGGGGCCCCGTACCCTCCAGGGGTCCCGCACTGTCAGGGTCCCCACACTGTCCAGGGTCCCCACATTGTCCAGGGGTTCCACAATGTTCGGGGGCCCCATACCCTCCAGGGGTCCTGCACTGTCAGGGTCCCCACACTGTCCAGGATCCCCACACTGTCCAGGGGTTCCACAATGTTCGGGGGCCCCACACTGTCCAGGGGCCCCGCACTGTCCATGAGTCCAACACTGTTCAGGGGTTCCACACTTTTAGTCTCCAGAAGACTGCCTAAAAGTCTCAGCTAGGCCAGATTTCTTATCATTTCTACATTAATGGTTCTGAGTAGAAATGTGTGGGTTGTAGGAGAACTTGCTTGGGCCACATCTGACTCATCAAACTCAATTCTGAACTTGGAACATGCCTCTTGCCTAGTGGGTTCCCTACAACCCAAAATGGGTTTTTCTGTAACTGCAAGGTTCTGAGCCAGGGGCACATGGCCTCCTGTGCCCCACTCCTGTGGACGAGGGGAGCTTGACAGCTGGGGTGGGGGGACTGTGCCTGTGCGCAGAGCTCCACAGAGCACCCCACTTTTCTCCTGATCACAGCTGGAGCCACTCCCATGTGACTCCACACCCTTGAATGGGAAACACCCTGCCTTCCCGGTAGAATTATATATTCAGCTGTTTCCACAGAGATCAATTTCAACCCAGTGCAGGAGAAAGTAACAGGGACTTAAATGAAGAGCACAGACAGGTGGACCTCCTCTGACTTCACGGGGACATTCCTTTTCTCTTGAATTTAAACCCATCCCAAAGAGCTACCTAAACACTCCTGACATCTTTATCATCACTTGCCTCCTGCTGCTGCTGCCCCCTATGTGTACATATGTTCGTGTGTGTGCATATGTTTATGTGTGTGTGTGTGTGTGTGTGTGCATATGTGTGTGTGTGCATATGTGTGTGTGTGTGCATATGTGTGTGTGTGTGTGTGTGTGTGTGTATGCGCGCGCGTGCGTGCACACGCGTCCATATGTGTGAGTGGAGGCCAGGTTGACATCAGGCAACCTTAGTTTTTGGAACAGGGTCTTGCTCTGGACCTGGACCTCATTGATTAGATTACACTGACTGCCAGCAACCCCGAGGGCCTCCTGTCTCCACCTTCCCAGTGCTGATGCTATAGATGCCACAGCACCCAGTTTTTTTTATGTGAATACTGGGGATGTGAGCTCGTACTTGCGGGGCAAGCGCTTTAGCAACTGAGCCATCTCCTCAGCCTCTCTGCTTTCTCTTTCTGCTTTTATCCTTCCCTCAGACTGCTGGAGTAGACAGGTGTCACTGGGCAGCAGGAGCAGGTTCTGTGGTGTTGGTGCATCCTCCTTCCAGTCGGGCTCGCAAAACACAGGTGTCTGGTTCCCACCCGAGTTCTAGATTCACTAGGTTGGGATACAGCTGAGACTTTGTCTTTCTAGTAAGTTCCGGGTGATGCCACTAACACTGGTTCAGGGTCACACTAAAAACTGGCAGGTGATTATACAAATGTGCTCTAGACTCGGGGAGATGTGGCTTTGCTCACCTCCTAGTCATCGAGAACTCTGTTCCTTAATGTTTCAAACAGGAAATTCTAGGTACCTAGCTTTTATCCCGTGAGTTGTTAGCTGTCTTTATCAGGCTGTGTAGGCTATACTTTAAACAGATTTACCCTGAGACCTTCTGTGGACAATTCCCAAGGCTGTATGATTAAAAATGTTAAACCAAATAACAAACACACATCTGAGCCTGGAGGGTAATTCAGTGGTAAAATACTTACTTAGCATACCCAAGAACCTGGGTTTTATTTCTATCACAGAAAGTAAAATTGAAAATTGCATTTGACCACATGGGCATCAACTCTTCAAGTGATGATGGATTCTGAGAGGTAGGAGTTAGAAAGAGTATAAAAGACACTGAAGAGGCCATTTACTTCACCTTTCAGTGAACCCAGAAGAAGCAAGGAGGGAAAATCAACTTTTGGTAGTCATAAGACCTCTGCCTTGCATCAGCCTCTATGACTGTGTAGATTCAGTGAAAACCTCAAACTCACAATGTGAAAGTAGAGAAATAGTTGAGGTTTTAGACGGCATATTTTGTGTGTGGGATTTTCCAGGGAATTTCTTATTAAGAGTCAGGCTAACCTCAAATGTTTGGGTGGAAGGCAGTCTTGGGATTGGTCTCTAGGAATCAGGAAGGGGCACAGAGGTTGAGCCCGGTGCAGCTCAAGGGCGCAATGCAAACGAAGATGCCAAGATGCGCCAGGTTGCAAGGACTCAAGCCAGAAGTCAGTGTTACCATGGGCTTCTGTTTATCAGACAGGATGGAGGAAGGACGGGTTTTGTTAGTTTCTCTAGCTTTAGTACAAGAGACAGGGAAGCCTGGGAAGTGTGGGTGTACAAGCTTAATTCAGGCCGGTGGCTTCGTGAAAGAAAACCAAATTCCGTCACCACCATTCCTTCAAATCCAAAAGCAAGGGAAGAGACAGGCGACTGCTGGACCTTGGAGTGTAGCAGGTAAGAACAGGAAAATCCTGAAGCGTCAAGGAAACAGAAGAGCCAAGTCTGGTCCGGACAGCGGCTTCTAAAGCAGCGGCTTAAGAAACACTGGTAGTGAGTGAGCAAGATTTTTAAATCCTTGCCTGAAACAGCCCGCTGTACACATATATACCTCAAACAGCAACGATATGCAGTGGGAATTTTCTAATTCTTTTTTTAAGGTTTGTCTATTTATTATGTATACATTGTTCTGCCTGCACATAATCTCATTAGAGATGAGGGCACCAGATCTCATTACAGATGGATGTGAGCCACAGTATGGCTGCTGGGAATTGAACTCAGGACCTCTGGAAGAGCAGCCAGTATTCTTAACCTCTAAGCAATCTCTCCAGCCTCCTCTGAAGTTAATTTAAAAACTGTTATTTCAGTCTTCTTGCCAAGTAGAAGGAAACACTGTGAAGGAGACATGGAAGACTCAGGCTCAGAAAAAAAGAGTTCAATATAGCCGAGGCAATTATAGATCAAGGATAAGGAACCTTCTGGACCACACAGTCAGACAGATATCTGAAAAGGCATGTCACCAATACCCAGACAGTCCTTAAAAGGGCAAAAGGTCACACAAATATGAATTCTAAACTCAAAAGACCTTGAGCATAGTTTCATACCAAAGATGGTTTTAAAAAACAAAACAAAGCTGAATGGGGATTGATTATTACGAGATCTAGTCATGGGCCAGGAGCTAGGTAAAGATAAGGAAAAAAAGAAAGAAAGCATTTCATTGAAAGAAAAATTCGTCATGAGTCCTTTGGGATTGGAGCTCAGATCCGAGCTTTCCCATCTTCACCCCTATTCAGGAAAACTGAAGCTGTAGGTTTACAGTTGACACCAGCCCTCCCAGACAGTGAAGCCTCAGGCTGTTGGAAATAGAGTGGTACTGTGCGGGGAACTGTCGTGGGAACTGTCGGTGGCGTGAATTGGAACTAAAGTACAGGAGAAGAGATAAAGGAAGGACAAACCTGGGGGTCACAGGGCCAGGAGCTAGGTAAGGGCACTGCCCACTTCACATAGGCTGCCTGAACGGAACTGAGGGGACTCAGACCGAAGAAAGTGCTGCTCCCTCTGAATCACCGTACTGAGAGTAAGGCTTGAGGCTGAGTCTACTGTGTGCCAAGAAACCATCTCATGGGAAGCCAGGGGGACAAGACAGTGGGCAGAAAAGAATCTGCCCTGAAAGTGTAGGAAGTAGGGGCAACCAGATGGCCAAGATAGAAGACCTAGAGCCATGGGGAGAAGACACAGGCACCTCACAAAGAACACTTAATATTTGGAACAATTTCGCAGTGAGTTTCATAACTTGACATCCTGAGGAATAAAAATAAACATTGCTTCAAAATTGTAGATAAATTTGTAGGCAACTACCCCACCATACATCGTCAGGTAGCTTTGCTTCTGACCTTGGAATTGATGACATCATCAGTAATTGTCCCATTACCCTTCTCAATAAAACATCACGGTCACTGTTGTCAAGGGGCCTTGTCCGTCCATTACTCCTTCCTTTCACCCATCTGTCCACCTCTACCGTCTTCCCACCCATCATATCTGTCTCTGCTCTATTTTTAGACATAATCCCTTATTAAACATGATGTTTCTACCTCTTGCTTTTTCACTTAATGTATCCATACATAAAAGAACTTTCCAACTTTTCAGTCCCCCCCCCACTTTTTACAATCTTTGGGAACAGTCTCACATAGTCCATGCTGGCCTCATATTCATTCTGTATCAGAAGCTGGTCAAGAACCTGTGAGCCTCCTGCCTTCGCCTCCCAAGCGCAAGGACTTTGGGAGTCAGCCACCATACCTGCCTCTTTAACCCTTTCTTCCTGTTTCAGAGAATGGGTACAGTCACTTACATAACCAGGGGACAATGCCCCCCATCTATATAGACTATAGGTCTCTGTGAAAAGACAGGCAAGGATTAAAGGAAGCATAACTCCCCCAGTTAAATTACCCAATTCAACAGAAACCCATCCGAATCTACGATGAAGGCTGAGCCTGCCGCACATCCTTCCTGAGGTGGAGGGGAAGGCCAACCCGGCAGCCCTTACTCTAGATCAGCCCTGCCTGAGCCTCGCTAGGATAACGGTTTCCATCCACAGCGCGAACCTCTAGCCTTCAGTCCGCTCTCTACTCCTGAGGCTTCAGGCGAACATTAAAGATTTGATCGATGCCTATGACTTCTGCAGTCATTTCTGCAAGTCCAGAGTTACTCAGATCACTTCAGTCATTCTACCCAGAGGAAACGTTGAGCTGGCTGCTCCCTGTAGCTTTTAGCAACACCCCTCAATTTTCCCCCTCATTAAGGCCACCTTACTTAATCAACTGACGCTCCTGCTGTAAACCCCCACCAACCTTGTCAGCCCATCACCGCACTGTTCCCACCATGGACCCCCCTTTCCCTCTCCTAAGTCACCTGAGTCACTGTCTCAATCCCTTTCCATGTCTAGTTGGCTGTCACTGTCCCCCCCGCCCCCCCTCCCCTGCTGCGGCTGCTACTCTGACTGTGGCTACGTCCTCTCTCACTTGACCACTCTCTTTCCCATCCTCGGCGGCGCAGGCTGCTTTCCTCTCTAGGCTGCGGAGCGATGGGCGCAGGCAGTACAGCTTGTAGTCGCAGAGGCAGCACGGGTAGTAGAGGTCACACAGGCCACAGGCGCGGGACCGCTTGGAGTAGCAGAGGCAGTAGGGGTAGGGGTGCAGGTCGCAGCAGCAGTAGGGGTGCATGTAGAGGTCGCACAGGCAGCGGGAGCTGAGTTCATCGATACATCTCAGTTGCCTTAATTCTCTGTCCACCTTCTTTATGTCCCTTCTAACACTGTCCAAAAGACAACTCAGTGCAGCCATTTTGGTCACACCTTATTGTTCTGTGAGTACCTTTGGGAAACGGCACTCAGAGGAAAAAATTGTTCTAAGCTCTGCTCAGAGGCCTCCTTTAAAATTAAATGAGCCACACATGATTCACTTACTTTACAGCTTGTGTTCTGTGACCCCGCCCACCCTTAAGGATGTCATAGTCTCCTGGTTACCATGCCAACCACAAACAGTTATGGTCCCCAGAGACCCTCCTCAGGTCTACCCCCAGGACCATACTCATGCTGAGGTTCATTTACCTCAGTGTTTGTGGGGTTCCCCAGCAGCCACAGCTCTTTGGGGTTCACGGACTAGCCTTCAGTGTCCTACAGTGACTTGTAGTGTCAAGAAGCTGTGATATGGGTGTGACTGTGGTTTTGACCCTGGTGTGGAAAGGGCAGGAGTTGCCTGGCTCTGGTCTGTGAGCCTTCTGGTTCTAGTCCTGGGCCTGGTTGTAAGGATCATTTGGGCTTCAGACAGGTAGAGTGTGAGGACCTTGGCTGCCGGCCCTTTCTTCCCACCAAGTCAGCCTCACGTCTGCCGTTGTCATTGGCTCTCTCAGACCGAAATCTCCGAGACCCACCCGTGATTATTATTATTTTCCTGGTGCCAGGGACCAAACCCAGGGCCTCAGACATCATAGACAACTGCCCATCCTTTACCAGCGAGGGTTCTAGCTAACTAGAAACATCAGTTCCCCACTAGTCCGGGGCTCATATGCTCTCATCTGCTGCTCTGGGTCCTGTCTTCAGGAACCACCTCCCAGCATGGATACCTGTAGTCTTGTCTGGCCCCTGAGTGCCTCCCAAGCATAGGCCCTGGTCCTCTTCCCTTAGCCTGAAACCCTTGCTTCAGCCACTGGCCACGCTCTAATGTGGATCAACCTCCTAGCCCGCAGCCTTGGCCTCAGAGTTGACTTGTACTAATCTATTTCTGTCCCTCAGACCACTTCCAGCTCTCACTTCCCCTCTCCTAGACTAAGACCTAGGGAAGGCACACGAGGACAGATGTGGACACCAGAGAGGGAACTAGCTAGATCTGAAGGCCACAGCAAGGGGTTGAATTCTCATTTTGAGTTCAGTTATCCATCCTCTCCTATTGACAGATGTCAAAAGTAAATCAGGCCCAGTAAAGAGACGAGGCAAGTCTGGGCTGGTGGACACGGCTCGGGGAGCAAAAGGAGGGCACTGGAGCTGGGGAAATGGGTCAGTGGTTAGGAGTAGGTGATTCAGAATGACTGGAACTGCAGTTTCATTGGCTCTGATACCCTCTTCCGACCCCCACAGGCACCAAGCATGACCACGCACACAAATACATGCAGGCAAAACACATGTAAAATAAAATGAATTGATCTAATTTTAAAGGAAGTCACTGGGCCCATTCTTGCCTTTCGCTCCTCAAGCCCCACCCAATCTGATGTTTTCACACTGCAGTAAGACAGATTTTGCAGATAAATCTGTCACCCCTCAATGTCCCTACTTTGCCTTAAAACTCACTCACTCGCTCTGGGAAGGCCATACCTCGCTCTTTCCGTCTCGTTTGGACTTAAAGACAGTTGCTCTGCTGCTTAGAAGCCCAAGTCTCTGACCCTGTCTCGGATCTAGTTCATTACTGCTCTCTCGTGCATAGCTATCCTTGGGAAGTCTTCTTTGTCCCATCACCAAGCATTCTCTTTCTCTGTGTCTGTCTGTCTGTCTCTCTCTCCCTTCTCTCTCTCTCTCTCCTCTCTCGCTCTCTTCCTTCCTTGACAAGTACTCGTGTAGCTCAGGTTAGCCTTCAACTCGCTGCGTAGCCGAGATAACCTGTATCTGACCTCCCAACTCCACGTCTTGAGCACTGAGATTCAGGTGTGAAGCACCACACCTTGTTTATGGGAGATAGGAACTGACCCGCGGCCTCGCCATGCTGGATAAACCCTCTGTTCACTGAGTGCTGTTTCCAGCACCAACATGTTTCTCATATGACATTTACTGTCAATTTCCAAAACTAAGCAGGATATTGGCTGGTTTTGCTCACCAAGAGCTACCTAACACCATGCCTGGTACATCATAGGTGCTTGGCATTTACAAACAAGCCACCAAATGAAGAAATAATCAGAACTTGGTGAGGAGAATGAAAATGGAGTAGAGGAGGACCCAGTAGTGGCTTCTGAGACAGCGAGCTGGGGTAGAGTGTGGTAATCAAGAGACTGGTGGCGGCTTCGAGGTAAGCTGTGCAGGGGACGCAAGGAAAAGCGATTTGAAGCTCAGGGAAAGACAGACAGACAGAGGTACAGACCAGGGGGACATGAGATGCAAACAGCTCACATGTGCGAATAGGGCAGAGACACGCTACTGAGGTAAAAGATCAGAAGTAGGGGTGTCATGAAGCTCATAAAAGTCTCTTACGGGTCCCCAGAGAGGCCACAGCCCCTCAGCCCAAGTCGCTGTATGTTGTCAGCCTGGCTTCCCAACGGCTCAGCATTCCACAGCCTTGACCTGGAGGCTCCCCTTCTGATGATGAAATGTCGTACACACTTGGACAGCACCCACAGAGCAGGGGAAGTTGGCCACCTGTGTCAGTCGGAATGAATCGAACAGCAATGCCGAGTTCTGCTCGTCTAGGGACAGGCTAATGCCCTTAGCAGGTGATTCCATGCGGTTCCGAGGGGTGGTCTCTGGGACCAGGAGCACGACCTGTAAGTGTGTTCAGATTTCTCTAACTCCAAGTGAAAGACTACTGAATTCTCATATCCCAATGCATTCCATGATTAGCAAATGTCAGCAAAGGTTTGAACAGGCAGCTCTTGTTTTAACTTGTTAAATACACATCTTTTGGAGCTTAAGTACACAGCTAAGTCTACACGGCGTGTTATTAAGATAGTCCTGACTTCATTGCACCTGGGGCCCTCCCATTCTCTCACCGCCCCCCCCCCCCCCGGAATTCCACCCTTCCACCATGAAATAGATTTTTTACATCATTTCAAGTGACTGAATAAGTACATTTAAAGATTCGGTGGAACATCTGTGCTGGCTCACAGTGGTAGGATATGCAAAGAGGTACGTGCAGAGGATCCTGAGTTCAAGGCCAGCCTGGGCTACATCATCGTTGGGCATGGTGATGCAAGCCTTTAATCCTTGCACTTGGGAGGCAGAGATAGATGCATTTTTATGAGGTCAGTGACAGTGTGGGCTACAGAGTGAGATGTCTCAAATCAAAAGAAAACAAAAGATTCAGTGAAATTGTGGTCCCTCACATCAGAAGGACAAGGCTGAAATTCATTAGAATCTGCTGAAAATCCTTAAGGACAAGGTTCAGGCACAACTCCTTGAACTATTAGCACAAGCATGTTCATGGGCTCTAACACAGAGGTGGGGGGTGTCCGTTACAAAAGGCTGCATCCACAGACACGCCCACTCACCTTGGCTGGTACCCAGACAGACCTTCCTCTGGGATTAGAGGGCAGGAGGTGGCAACTTCACAAGCCAGGCAGCATTTGCCTGGTGGTATTAGCCGAACTGTGTGCCAAAGGCAGCTTCTTCTGCTCTTCCAAGTCCGTTCACTAAGCCAAAGCTGCAAAGGTATTCATCTAGTGGTGGTGGGATCAACACACAGTGTGTAAACATTAAACCCCAAATTATGCCGCAACATGGCTTTAATTTTTTTGAAAAGGATCCAATGAAGGAAAGAATGACCCTTAAGAAATGACTGGTTATCTCTGAAAAGTAAGATATTGGTGGCTTTTAAAACTCTCCTTCCTAGGAGTGTAGCCCAGCAGCAGAATTGTGAGAGGCTCTGTTTCAAGCCCCAAAAGCAAACAAAAATGTGTTAGGATAGTGTGTGTGCATATGTGGGGGGGCTACATATGCCTATTTCTCAAATGGAGTGGTCAGAGACAATTTTGTCGAGTTAATTCTCTCTTTCCACGTTTACATGCATTCCAGGGATTGAATCCAGGTCACCAGGCTTGCACAGTAGCATCTTCACCCCCGCGCCATCTCAGCAGCCCTGAAATACTTTAGCTAGCAATGTCTAGCACTCTGTCCACTCAAGGCTCACCTCTGGCCCATCTCAAAAATCCAGCTGAGAGGCCAATGGCATGGCTTGGTGGATAAAGAGCTTCTCTGAAGGTTTGGGGTCCAGGACTGGGATCCCCAGCTCACACGGAAGTCAGACAGGATTCCCCGGGCAAGGCGACTGGCTAGATTGGTCACATTGATGAGCTCCAGTTCAGAGGCAGATCCTGCCTTGGTACAGTGGAGAGATCAGCATCACACACACCCGGGCAAGCTCTGGGGCCGTCCCTCCGAGCAGGCCACCGGGGAGTTCTCTGTGAGAAGACACGTCTATGCCTGTCCACCATCCACGGAACCTGCTTTTGGATGAAGAACTTTCTCCCTCTCCCGCCATTAGCTACCGTTGATAAAGTTGCCTATCCAAAGATGGGGCACCTAAGCAGGCCAACCCACTGTCCTCCTGGAACTTCCTGTTTACCACAGTGCCTAAATAGTTCACATTTCCAAAACGTTCCTCAGCTGCGCTTCAGGACTGTCAGCTCCTCAGGTGGCTCCAATAACCTCATCTCTTTCTTTCTCTTCTCCGTTCCTGTTTTGTGTTCTTTGGACAATAGTTTCACTATGTAGTGTAGCTCAAGCTGGCCCAGAACTTACTATATATAATAGCCGAGGCTGGCCTTGACCTCTAAGCAATCCTCCCGCTTCAGCCGAACTTCCCAGTGCTGGGTTACAGCATGTGCCACCAGGCCTGGCTCAAAACCCTCTGAGGCCCTGGCATGGTGGTAATACGCGCTGGGGCTCTGGCCCTTCAGAGGCACTTGTAGAATGACCTCAAGTCTGAGGCCAGCTTTCTACATAAAAGCCTTAACAAAAAACAAATGGCCAAGCCAAGCCAAGTGCTCAGTGGCTCAGGCCTGTGATCGCAGCTCCTCAGGAGGATGGCCAAGTTCAAGGGAAAGGAAAAACAGAAGGAACTGGGACACAGCACATTGGTAGGGCTTGCCTACCATGAATGAGGCCCAACGCTCCAGTCCTAGGAACAGAAAACCAAAAAAAAAAAAAAAAAAAAAAAAAAAAAACAACAAACATGGAACTGCACTGGGACGACAGCCTGCTCCCTTTGGCCGACGTGCAGAGACCAC